CTCTGCCCCTCCCCTGCTCATGCTCTGTCTCTATCAAAAAAATAAACATTAAAAAAATTAAAAGTTAACATGAATTTATGTGTTCCTCAATATGTAAGAGAGGAGAGCTAAAAGCAAGTGAAACCCTTAAAGCTCCCAGCATGTAGAGAGATTGGGGTGGAATTCTAGAGACACGGAGTATAAATAAATATTGGCTCTTAAAAGTACTCTTACCGCTATTTGAAATAACCCAGTAGAACTTGGCGGGTTTGATCATCATTTCACTGGTAATGCAGAAATGCAGACTAAACCCCTCTGTTCATATCAGTAACAGTTTTGAGGAGAATAAGTTTTAATCCCAACACCCTTTTTTTTTTTTATTTTAGGGTGTCCTGTATGACCTAGACAAGGTAAGTTATCATTCTGTGCCGAGAGTTGCTGGAAAATAAGCACTGAATCTTTGAATAGAGGTCAGTGATGTCCTCTTAGGCATAACAAGACCTCAGAGAACTGAGGATTTTTCTAAGCCTAGGAAAAGTCATGCTTTTCTCTAATGAGGGGGTACCATCATGTAGCTCCAATGCCGTCTTTAAGGTCACTTCCATAAAAGTGCCACCTGGTTGGAGGGTTCTCGGTGTGCTGATGAGTTTCAGGACTTCCCAGGTATTTAAGCACCTTACCTGTACCCCTTCTAAATATGGACTATACTGTTTCATCAAGCCAAAGACGTCCTTGATTGGAAAATACACTGGTATTTTATATGCGCCTAAGAGGGAAAAAAGTGATTCCAGTTAAATCCTGGCACCATTTTTTTTCTTTTCACTTAAAATTTGTATTGTATGCCTCAGGACAAAGCCCTTCGAGCTTTCTTTTCATTGTAGATTTTGTTTTTGTCTTTCAATATGCTGCTGTCCCCTTCCCATCCTTTCTGTAGATGCAGAGAAAGTTTTAATGCTGAATCATGGTATGATGGTTTTTTTGAAGACATTTTAAAGGGTAATTAAATTGAATGCGTGTAATAACAGTATTTATAACTCAAACGAAGGGATGACACATAGAACCACTGTGATTATCTGTGAGTGTGCACCGGCAGTAGGGATTGTAAAATGCACCCCCGTTTCAGAGACACTAAAAGGCAGGGGGGTGAGTTCATCTTAGAGGTGATAGAATGGAGGGATTGAGGTCTAGCCCAACATGATACCGTCCTGCCAGAGACCCAGTGAATTCCATTTGATTGGCTTCCCTCGATGTTCCACACAACGATTCCAATAACCAGCTCGAGTTCATCTGTGGGAATATTTATTCCACGTTTCAAAAAATACTTCCCGAATCGTTCATGGAGAGTCTCTGAAATAGCCACGATTGGAAGAAAGGGGGGATGGTTCGCATTTTCTGGTACTTCTGAGTAGGAGAGCGGGGAGAAGATATTGCTGCCAGTCTAGATGGGTTAAACTGTAAATGGCTGCATTTTCTTTCAAACTTCTTCTTTTATTTCCAGCAAATTAAAACGATTGAAAGATACATGAGACGCCTGGAGTTTCACATCAGTAAGGTAATGGAAGTTCCTGTTGTCTTGCTTCTGTGTTTCCGTTCTCAGTCACTAATCACTACGCTTTGGGCCTAAGCGTGGCATCTAGTCCATGGACAATTTCTTACCTAATTGACTCCTAGCAGTTAAGTCTTCCAACAGGCAGTAAAAATGGAGACAAACAAGACTTAGGAGCCTGACAGTCCGGCATAGTACCGACCCTACTCAGTTCAACAGACATTAAGTGCCTCCCGTGAGGCACCCACAGTGCCTCCTGCTGGGCTTTTAGTCTCCACGTAATCTTGGTAAAGACTGAACCAAACGGACCTAGGAGAACTTTCACGCTTGTGTAACTTGACCTCTGGACACGCTTACAACTCGGTACCCCGGAAACTTCTTCGTGAAGGCCGTATAAGTACTTATGGACGCTGCCATGTACCTCTCTAACCCTGTCGAGCACCCAGTTCCTTCTGCCCTTCCTCGCATGACCTCTTCATCTTCGTCGCCCGCATAGATGGGGGCCATTTTGCCAGGCTCCCTGACACCCGGCCCTGAACCCTACAGATAGTTCACTGATGGTCCAGCCAGCCTTGTGTGGGGTGGGACTTTGTCACCCCTTGTTCTGAACACTTAAGAGAGTTACCGGGACAGCCTGGAAATATTTCCCTTTGGGAGCCGCTAAATCACACCAGTGGCTATTCCTGTCTGCATCCCCATGCAGCAGCCTCTCTTCCAAGTACGGAGACTGGACGCTTCAGCCGATCTCTGTGCTAGGAGTCAGAAGCCCTGGATTCCAGGCGTGTACTCTCTGGCCTCTATCACCTACGTGGACCTGAGTGTTCGACTCTGTGAAATGGGGCTGGGAGGTGCACGTGTTCGGTCTAAATGACCCTAAGAGTTCCTTCATTTTAAAATTCTGTGATGATTTATGCGCACATAAGCACATGTATCTATAACTGCCTTCGTGTGTTCCCACTCTAACAAATCCCTTTTCCCTCCGCAAATCTGAAACCGCTCCAATTTCTGTTATAAATAAAACAATGACATCCATCAGAAGGTATCCGTGTGGCCGGCAAGTGTTGGCAGATTGAAACCCAGCAAGAAGGCACAACCCTGCATTAGGTAGGAGTGAATTTATCCATCTTGTATCCATCGTTGTTAAACACAACAATCCCGGTGGCTGTTAAAGGTTGGTAGCAGTCTGTTTGCAACACCTATATACAGCATGCCTCACAAATTATAGTCAACCGAGTGAGTCAGTCCGTTTATTTGATGAGAGCCACTGCTGACTTAGAGTCGAGACAGATGCTTGCCTACAGACGGGCCCGTTTCCGCTCAGGTGAGTACTTGGTAACCCTTTATCCTAAAGGTGAACTTCATTTGGCTAGGATAGGTTGATATTGGAATGAAAACGAAGAATTAACTTATCTTTAAATGCAAAGTAGTAGACTACATCATCAGGGCTAAACCAGCACCCCGCCAGCAGCTTCCTTGTAGACGGGATTACAGACTCGGAGTTTTTGGCAAACCCGGCCACAGGGGGGAAAGGTTGAAGGCACAGGCTTCCAGGGGATTACCTGGGTACAACCGCCTGACCTGCGCTGGAAGAGGTATCAGCTCTTGCGCTTCTAAGAGTTTCGTGGGGACCTCCCGCGTCAGAAGGATCTGCAGCATTTATTTAAAACTTCAGATGCCCAGCCCAGCCCTAACCTCCTGAATCAGCATCTCAGAGTGGGGCCTGGCCATCAGCATGGTAATGAGCTCACCAAGTAAGGCTGAGTTTAACTTTTAAGTATGGGAACCACCTTCTGTGCCGGTCACCAGCCCAACGATTTTATCGGCACATCACCACCCCTGAGTCTTGGGTCTCCCCCTTAATCAGGCACGAATCCATCGGCCCCAAAGATGAAAGGCTGCTTCCCGGAGTCTGGCAATTGCTCTCAGCAGAGCGCAGTGAACTGTTGAAGAGCGACAGAGAATCCTGTAACCAGAGAATAATTTGCAATCTCTTAACGTTCATCTTCTAAGCTGAGTGTGATGACGTCTAATGTAGAGACCGCAACTGGGGAAAACCACACCACCGGTGGGTCCTACTGATGCTTTTTAGCGAGCGCCCCAAAACTCGCCTTCAGAACCAAAGAGGAATCTTCAGCTCCAAAACCCATGACATTTACCTCGACCGTCTTCTGGCTCTGTAGCTTCTTGAGGCAGTGAAGTGCGTACAGAAAGGACAACAAGTAGCCCGAGGCAGGCTTCCTGGTCTCATGGATTTCCTTTGCTTCTGCTCACGCCTGGTGCTAGTGTCCTTTTCATCTGCCTGCAAGCTGCTGTAGTTAGTTAACTGGGTAGCGTGTGGATAATGGAGGACGGTCCAAGCCTGTGCACCTACACGTGACCGGGAATAACGAGGTTCTCTCGGTGTAGGCACAGTTGACATTTGGAGATGGCCTGTGCTGTGGGGGCTGCCCTCTCCTGCTCAGGATGTTGAGTATCCGTGGCCTCTATACCTACCAGATAGCAGTAGCACCTCTCCCTGTGCCACGGGAAACAAAACGGCCCCAGCTTTTGCCAAAAGTCCCCTGGGTGTCAAAACAGCCTTGGGTTGATTGAACATCACTCCCTTAGAGGCACTAAGTGATTATCAGGCTTATAGAACGAGTATGGTTGATAGTCATTTGCAGAAGGTTTATTATCATCTAGAGGCATAGGTGTAGAGGTGTAGGAGGAAAATGCTCACGTCTATTGTGAGGCTCTTTATTGAAAATGATTTTTGTAAAATCTTGGCTCGATTTTTAAAAATTTTTTTTAATGTTCATTTATTTTGGAGAGACAGAGAGAGATAGAGCATGAGTGGGGGAGGGTCAGAGAGAGAGGGAGACGCAGAATCGGAAGCAGGCTCCAGGTTCTGAGCTGTCAGCACAGAGCGCGACGTGGGGCTCGAACCCACGGACCGCGAGATCACGACCTGAGCCGAAGTCGGACGCTTAAGCGACTGAGCCACCCAGGCACCCCTCAATTTCTTTTTTTTTAATTGATAAATTTACATGTGTGGATATCACCTTGTGACAGTCCTCTTAAAATAAAGTGATAATAGCCTCGTATCAACACTTCCAGCGTTTTTTTGCTTATGAAGAAGACTCCTGCCTTCGTTATCCAGTAGGCATCTCACGCAGCCACCGGTGTTCAGCTCATTTCCATTTTGTGCCACTTGAAAAGACAGCTCAGATTAAAATCTGCTTCAAAATGGAAAATGGATCCCAGTGGCTAAAACAAAAACGGTTGGTCTCTGTCTGAAAGGATGACGCTTCTGCCAAGAGTCCCCTTGTTGAGGTCGGAAACGTAAATACCTCAAGCACGTAGCCATGGCCTATGTAACTTCTTCCAAGTGAGATGAAATGTTTACATCCCTTGTGTGTGCCCTCTTGTGATTCTGACAGGTGGACGAACTCTACGAAGCCTACTGTATCCAAAGACGCCTCCAAGACGGTGCCAGCAAAATGAAGCAAGCCTTCGCAGCCTCCCCGGCCAGCAGAGCTGCCCGGGAGAGTCTGTCCGAGATCAGTCGCAGCTACAGGGAGTACACGGAGGTACGCGCAGGTCTGCTTAGCAGCTTAAGTCCCCCCCAGGCCCCCCACCCCGGGATTGTCGGAATCGCTGGTCACCGCCAGCAACAAGGGGAGTGGCAGCCTCCGGCCCCATGCTAGTCTTCAGGGAGATGTTTTACTGTTGGCCTCTCTCCTGTTGGTTTGAGGCTGTCCGTGGAATTATTTAAGACGACTGCTGGGTAGTTTGGTCGGTAGTCTTTTTGTTCAGAGTCTTCGTTAGACCCCGCAGCCTTTATTGGCTTTTCTCAGTCCCCGAACATCGCCTGTCAGACACCCGTTTCCTAGTGCCTTGGAACATGCTCGCTCACAAGCTTGTAAAACCCTAAGACTAGATTCTGCGAGGCCATTCGCTCTTGTGTGCTTGTGCTGCCTTGTACTCTTTGCACACGTAGGCTGCAAACGCTTGTCGGAAATTTCAGTGAATGCGCGAGTCAGCCGCGATGCCCTGGTTTTTGACGTTTAAGTGCGCTTCCAAATTTTCTAGCGTGTGGTCGAATCTGGCTTTATTCCTGGAAGTCGAACAGACCCGGGGGGTAAGATGGCTTCCCTGGATGTTGGATATCGCTAAGCCTCCTGCCCAGGATTATTTTATTGTAAGGAAGTTCCCTTCTGTCTTAAAGGAGGCAAGATAAAGAACCCTGAGCAGAAGTGTGCTCTCCTGGCTTCTGTCTCTGAGGCCCAAACATATGACGCAGGGAGATCTTCAGTCCTCCTGGGGTCACCTGATACCAAGTGTCTTTGATGAAAGCTGAATTATTAAAGCAGCTTGTCTCACTAGCCCGTGAGTCTGCTCACCGATCGAATTCCATGAATGAAGTCATCAGCCCCATGAGGGTCTGCTGGACAGTTCCCAGAGCGGAGCGTCTGTCACCGCCCTGCGGCGGGAGGGACCTCACGGGTCACTTTGTATGGTCATTCAAGCTGCGCCTCTGGTCAGAACCGTTAGTCCCTTTCCGTGGTCTGAAATGGGCTTCTTTACCTATGTTCCCCTTTCAGAACAACGCTTTTTAAATGCATGAAATAAAATACAAAGAATCCAGGAATTCAAAAGAAACCAATTATCCTGAAACAGATATTTCAATATTAGCCGTCCAGTTGTCAAAATACCTTAAATAGCAAAATATTTTGATTATCATGCTATGCTTTAGTTCTGCCGCTTTATTAGCACATCAACGTTAAGTTATAAGATCTAGCAGTGCCTCTACTTGTTTGAAGTTATAAGATTTTAAAGCAGCAAAAAGTATAAATGATTTTTCAAGGTACCTAGAACAAATGATGTGACCAGGAACATGCCTGTGATTTCTGTCCGTGTCAGAGTCACAGGTACTGGTCATACTGCTGGGGCTTCCTTTCTACATTTGTGACACTTCAACATGGGATAAGTTTCAATTAGAGGTTGGGAAACAGCAGAGGGTTTCTTTTCCTCGCCCAAGTTGGTGAACCCAGGGGTTGAGGATCTCTGGCTTAGAAGTAGCCCAGCCCTGCCTGGTTCATGAGACCACCTTTCTCCATATTCATGAAATCAAAAGAGCAGTTATAGAGGTCGTTCAGAGTCCACGAGCAGATAACGGACCGGCAGGAGCTTCCTGTCCTGGAACATTTGCTAGCCGTTTTGGAAACACCTGCCCTTGGTCAAGTGCCAAAACATGGCATCACAGTCTGCTCGCAAATTCAAAGATGTAGATTACAATTTCAGCAAGAGGGACTTCTGCCTTAGAGAAGAAAGTGTCGGATTTCTGCAGGGCCCTATCTCACTTGACATCAGGTGGGTTTGTGTCTTCCCAGAACTGCAAAGCCAGGATTTGATAGCAAAGAACGTTTAGGGCAAGAAGGCTCTGGATGCTTCCGCAGGTGCAGCCATGTTCATCAGTCGCTGCACGGGCGAGATGGAAGCAAATCCTGTCCACAGAGGTCCTCAGCCGCTAAACTAGCTGGCCCCAAGGTTTTTTTGAAGACACTGGTGCCAATCCTGGCTTGCATGATAGCATCACTGGCCTTTTTGGAGAGTGTAACGTGTTCTTTCACAGAAACACACGATGCTCTAAGAAAAGAGGTTTATAATACCGAGGGTTTGCTTTCAAAGCTTTCGAGCAGCACAGAGCTCAGACTTCGGGAAGTTTCCCCCAGGTTTGCGAAGCTGTTTCAGGCACTAAGAGCTTACAAGGGGAAAGACCATGCCATTCTCTTTGCGTCCCATTCAGGCACCAGTTCAGAAGAGTGATCTTTTGGGGCAGAACAAAGGAACAAGTAGGAGAAGCAGTAGCCTTACAGATCAGTCCTGAAGTTCTCAGCAAACAAAATGTAAAGGGAGCCATCCCTGTCAGCACCCTGGGCTGCCCCCCCCACCCCACCCTCACTCCCATCATGGAGGCTGGCTGCTGAGGGGGAAGCCTGCAGGTGCCCCCGCCGGGCGGAGGGGGCAGGCATGGGCACCGCTGCTTCCTGCAGCCGAGGTGGTCTCCGGAGCTTAAGCTGGTCGACCTGCAGAGGGGCCCCGTGGGGAGAGCCCCCCTCCCCCCGCCAGGGTGCTTTTCCTTTTCTGATCTCCAGTGGC